TAATTATAGTTTTAAATTCTTGTTTGAAAAAGTATCTTTAGTTTAGTCCAAGGCTTTTTGAACTGATGTTCATTTCTACCAATGTAAATTAACTTTACAGTCCTTCTACAATAAGCCGCAAGTTAGAGGTTTTAACCGATCTTAAGTCATAATCGGTGAAGTTGGCCAATAGCCAACTTGACTTGGTTAAGACTGGTTAAGACTTCTGACGTTCTGACTTGCGGTTTATTGTAGAAGGCCTATTAATCTCTTTTTAATTTTACCAATTTTGATTAACTTTTTATCTTTTTCTTATTTTAAAAGACCGATATTCATATTCCGTTCTTATTTCAAAATCATCTTAAGTAATGTTTAAAAATGCTAATACGCTGTTCTTATGATTGTCTTGAGATTGTACATAGAACGGTCTTAAATATAAGAGCTGTCTCTGAATACCAGCATGAGAATGAGAAAAAGATAAAGAATAAATTAAACCGAGAGATTAAAATTAAATTGTATGGATAGAAACAATTGATAGAGCATTAAAGGGTTTACTTTTCATATCGCAGGTTTCAACAATACGCAGAGGAGAGCACAAGATCGACTTTTCGTGTAGTGGAGACCGTATTACATACATTTTCGTCCATCACAATGTTACTGGAATCAACATATTTCGCATTAACAAATTCCTTCCGTGCGATTTTAAGCGTAGCAGATAATATCGGTAGATTGCGGTCAACAATCGGCCAATTATTAAGCACATTTGCTTTAATCCGTGTCATGAAATGGATCTACAGAAGGATTTTATTTACACTTGGTAGATTTGGTTTTTATATAATCAAAACTTTTATATCTATTTACATAATTTATTATCGTTTAATAATTATTCTATTCCTAGGTCTTCAAACGCAAAATGCTGTCGTCGAAGACTTGTGGCAGCAATCAGTGTCACAATTAACAAACGGAGAACAGATACCGATAGCGACGGCGACGAATGAAAGGATTTCTCCTTGGATGAATATTTTACTCCTCGGCCTGTTTGTCGCTATTCCATATCTAATTCACAAGATAACGAGTAACATAAGGCAAAATCAAATAAAAGGTATTACATTTGCATCTTTAAGGACATTTTAAATCTAAATAAACACATGATAAATTTTTACAAATAACGATCTACGTCTTCCGTCGCTAAACTTTTATGCTTGGAAAAACGTCGAATAATTTTTATAAAAATTTTACAAAAAATATAAAATGCAATTTCGTATATAAACTAATTTTTCCTTACTGTAATTCCTATCTTTAAGATATGTTTTGATACTTTATATATTGGTTAAATTTACAGTTAACGATCCGAAAGAATGGGTGAAATGCGAGGATCCAGTATGTGTGGCAACAGCAATGTACGATTTCATGGCAGTTTCTAATGAGGAATTGAGTCTAAGAACTGGTCAAAAAATATGGTTGGCGCCGCGCTCCCTGCAATCTAAAAGCATACCAGGTTGGTGGATAGCCACCGATAATAGAAATGTCGGTTTGGTACCTGCTAATTATGTAACTATAGTCGGACAATTGAAGAGAAAACCAGAATCGGAAAACAATGGAAATGTCATTACATCGACGGTAATTCCAACTTCCATGCAAAATGCGACCCCTTCTGACGAACAGATGAATACAGTAGAACCTAGCATTAGCCAACAAAGTACTGATTTCTCTGAGAATAATAACTCTGAGATTAAAGACGATCTATTTTAGTCGAAATTAATTGAAAGATCTCGATCTAAATCATAATTAAAATAGTCGCAAAGTGATATTAGGCCTGTTCTTTTTGGCTGAACTTTTGTGTCAGTTCATCTTTCTTCCTCTTCATTTCTCCTGGACAGAAAAGGAAGTAAGATAAACTGGTGCAAAAGTTCAGCCAAAAAGAACAGACCTATGGTCTACCTTAAATATATGGCCTACTATATCTTTATAGGACATGACTGATATAAAGTAATATTACAATACGCGCCATATTTACTAGGTATCAAACAAAGCGCAGTGAATCTTTTTCAATATGTGATTAAATTACGATAATCGACACTTTTACTTGACACTTAATGATTTTTTTCTATTGGGGAAAAGCTCACAAATTACCATAAAATATGATTTTGTTATTTTTATTTTACATAGCAATATATTATCTTTTTATATATTAAGTTACCCGAATAAAGAGGAGTTTGTAACATTCGTATTTGTACATATTAAAAATATATTTGTACATATTAAATAAATTTAAGGCTTTAATTCGATATTTAATTAAAAAAAAAAAGACAAAAGTACGAATTGTTTCACACATACATGCGTCAAAATTTTTTTTTAATGAATTTCCGCAAATGTGATATTTCGACCTCACGTTTGTATTTAATTTCAATAACATTCATGCTCGTCGAACATTTAAAAACTTTATGCCAAATTTTTTTAAATAGTGATAACGAGCATATGTTACGCTGGATTTTTGTAGCGAAAAATCATATATTTAAAATCTTCAGTTGATGACATAAAATTCTACATAAACGTTTCGACTAAAATTTTGCCATCTTCAGTATGTCATTAATAAGTTTTAATTATAAAAACTGCTTTTTTATTTAAATATAAAAAAAGTCAATTAACATAATCGCATATTTATGAAATTATAATGTTAATAATATATATTTAAATATATCTCAAAAAGACATTTAGTCGTTAGTAAGAGTTGATCCAAAATTTTATAATTTTTCGTTCACAATTAATTAATTGATTAATTGTAACTGCTTGCTCATAAAACAAGAGGAATTGATAAATTACATGTCACAATTACAGCTCCCTTTAAATATTTACAATATAGTGTCACGATCTTATATGTAAAAGGAAGAACAAGGCAATAAAATTGCGTTTGCACTCAAGTAGACGGCATAAAAATTAGCTACAATTTTATGTCAATAGATTATTTAAAAATATGAGATTGTTCGAAAGTGCAAAATCTCCATGACATATTCGAAATCGAAAATCAACGGTTAGAATTTATATAAATCCAAAATATATAATCCTATATCTAAACGTATATGTAATTTTTAATCTACATAGACTTCAATATGTGACAAAAAATTAAACTGTTTTAATTAATAAAGCAGTCTGTCTTTTTTGTTGCGGAATTAAAAAAACCGATGGAAATGCGCCGAAGTATAGACACGATTGTTCGGAAAAAACTAGGATATTATTTTTAATGTGTGCAATTAAAGTTTTGTACATTTTGTAATATTTTGATTGTATAATTACTTTTTATACTAGCCTCATGTAATATTTTATAATGGAGGTAATTTAAAAAATTATGTATATATATATATATATATATATAGGCACATTTTTTTCGCAAATGAAAATTTAAGATATTAAATTTGTGAGATTTAACAATCCTAATTCTTCAACATTGAGAATGTTTCTATTTATGGCGTTTTGAATAAAATTTATAAAATTCGATTGTATGCTAAATGATATATGTTGAAAGATATAGGTTGTAAAAAATGTTTATATTTATGTTTAAAGAGTCTAATGAGAATGGACTCTTATCCGTAGTTCATTGGAAAAGAAACATTACTACATAAAAGAATTTAATGAAATAAAATGTTTTACCATTAAACTGCCTGTAAATGTGAGTTTGAGAACCAAAAATTGTATCAAATAAAATCTAATTAGAAAAAATCTCATAAAATTTAGATAGGCATGCATCGATTTAAACGTCTATATGGTCTATATATATATATAACATTAAATACGAGACAAAATAAAGGATATAATTACGGACTATTAAATGCTCATCGTTAAAGAAATTACGATTGCCCGAAAGTTTTTAAACTAACATGCGCACACACGCATACATGCACATTTATAGAGAACAGTTTTCTTGTGAAATATTTATTTTCCAAATTCCAAGAAGTTTAATTAAACTTGGAATATATAAGGCATATGGAGAATAATACGTAGATAACGTAATATTTTATGAACAGCACCTGTATATTATCATATTCTACAAGATATATGATTTTTACCAAAATTTTTATAAAATATAATTATACGCCTTTTTGGTAATCTCGAGAGATTAGAGAGATTTAAAGGTCAAATTTTTAAAATAAATAACCTAGATTAAAAAATGTCATTCGAAGAATCTTCGGCAAAGAGTGATATAATACAATACAAAAATTGCACACTATTTTGGCATATTCATAATCACATTGTCAGTTTTGAAGAAATTTGTTTATATCGTTCTCCAATTACACAGTTATTTTAAATTAATAAAACATTAATCTCCATTTACAAATTATAATTTAAGAATAAACTTTTATACACACTGATTTTGTTTAAATTTTAGCGCGTGTAATAACTAATTTGCTAATTCACGAATTTTATAACTTATTTGACTAAGATGGTTTAAATTGTTCTGAAAGTTAGTTAATATAATTTTTTAAAACAACTCCAAATAGATAATCGCTAAATATTAGATAAAAATCTAAAAATAAAATGGAAAATATGTGTTACAATACTTAACAATATTAAATTATTCTAAAGATTTTGAGTAAAATAAAAATTAAGTTTTATCACTTACAGAGCAATTTAAACTTTCTCAGTGAAACACCGATAATAGATCTCTTAAATGCTGAAATGTCCTTTATTTCTTCTGCTAAATGAATGTCAATCCTGGTAACAGTAATAAGACACATTTATTGTTCCAAATCACATATATGAACGGTGGTTTTGCAATCCTTTAAAATCCTTTAACTCAAACATATATACGATATCGTACTATTTTTAGATCATCACAAATAGAAAATGGAAGTCCTCAACTTCCTTCCACATGAAAAAGTTCGTAATTGAGGATTTCAAAATATATATGTATATTAATATATATTATGTATATATCAGTAGAGTACTGAAAGTTTAAACTTTACAAATAGTTTTATTTTACATTGAAATGATATGATTGAAATTTTTATAAATAACATCTCTATATACAAATATATAAATATATATATATAATCATTCAGTCAATATATATACATAACGCACTCCCGCTCCAATAAAGTTCATTCATTTGCTAGAAAAAGCTAACTAATCCGTCGTGGATTGTTTTAGAAGGAATCTCGGCGCCCACAAGCAAGTTTCCACTAACGTATGACTAACAGTAGGAGAGAGATTCTTATATAATTTTTTAAAACTTATATATTCGTAATTTGCACTATATAAAAATCAGGGTGAGCAGTAACGCGTTACTTTGTTGATCGTTATCTTGTTATAATAACGATTTGATAATGACATTGTGAATTTTTATGACGGCAATGGTAATATCAGAGTTAGAAAAATCAATCATTACTTGTTGAAAAAGTCATTTGTCATTGAAAAAAATAACTCCTTTTTTCATTAATTTGTAACGCGTTACTTTTTTACTCGTGTTTCTTGTAACGAGTAACGTTACGCGTTACTCGTTACTTTTTTTTAGTAACACATAATGATGACAAATTACTTTTCAAAGTCACTTTTCTAATCTTAGCACAACCTTAGCATTTAGTTAGTTAGCATTACCGTTATAAAAAATTACGTTGTCATCAAATGTTTACTATAGAAGGTAACGACAAAGTAACTGAAAAATAACGTTTGCCAACCTTGATAAAAATCATACGTATCAGCCCCCTATGCTCCTCTTGACTTTCGGTCTCGAATTTTCTTAAATTCAGAAAAATGTAATTCAAAGGAAAAATGTAATTAATATATTAATGTAGAATATTTAAGACTGCTTAATAGAAACAGAATAAACAAATAAAACCTAACATGTTTTTAATGTTTGTGACTTATTTAGTTTCAACAAGTAGAATCGGCGTGTCTAAATATTTTGAATATCCTGCTATTCAGAGGGCTAAAAATATACACAAAATTAACAATATGATATTTCTAATAACGTGATAATGTTCGTCATTGTTCCCCTATACTGTTGTTTCCTTGCCTGCGGCAGCATCACGCAATCGATAAAAGAATTATCGTAGAGATTATCGTTATCTGTCATATTAACGCGATTTCACGTGAACACATCATCAAGTTGCCTTTATACGCAGTGTCCCTGAGTCGAGCTTACTGTGGGCAACACGATATTCACAACGCACTTAAGAGTTACCATTCAGCGTCCCCATTTGCCTTTTGGAACACATAATCTTTTCCAGATAGATTCATTATACCGTCCTTCAAATAAAATTTCCACTTATTCCGACTCCTTGTAATCTGAAAATAAAACGTTATCGTATGTGACTCCGAGTTGAAACATCGTAATGTACAGTATTACATAAACTTTATCGTAAACTTAAACATAAATCGCTATCGTACCTTATCGTACTGGCAGACGACTACATTATCGGTGTCGAAGAGATCAGCAGGATCGTCGTCCGTAACATCATCTTCGGAATTAAGGGGTTCCTAATATAAATAATTTTCTTGTGAGACGATCACTCAACTTATGTAAAATTTATTTATAAATATTAACCTCTTCACGAGCCGCAGCCTCATCATTTTCTTCTTCCTCTTTCTCATCGATATCCTCATCATCATCATCGTTATCCTCTTCTTCCTCTTCATCGTCATCGTCAGTAGAATCACCAACTCCTCCATCTAACTGATTTATATTATTTTGCTGCTGAAAAAATGAATAATGTATGGTATGTTATCTATATAATATACATACACGTGTACGTATAAGTACTTATCTATTATCTTATCTTTTCCATTATGTTCTCTCAGTCTGCATAGACTAAATATTTTACTCTACCTGATTTTGAGGTGGCCTTTGTGTAACGACACTGTTTGTACTTTGTGTAACCACTTGAAGAGGCTGATTCACTTGTAATGGAGTTAATGCTGCTTGTCCTTGCAGTGTAGAATTCACATGCTGTTGCAACAGAGTCGAAGCTAAATTTGCTGGAAGACCCATAGCGGCGGAAATTACCGGACCTGTTAAAATTGTATGCAGCTGGTTTGCTGAAAAGAAAAACAGATAATCTTTTTATTTACATAGATAAATAGTTGACATGTGTGCATGTATGTGTGTTTACAAAAGATTCTTTTTACAAAATAATTCCTTCTTTTTAACTGAACTTTGTACTTTTTTTTTCTCATTTTTTCTCCAACGTAGAGACAAAAGGAGGAAAGACGAGCTATGCAGAAAATTCAGCTATGCTATGCTAAAAAGAATAAGCCTCAAAATAAATTACAATAACAAAAATTACAATATCTGAAGACACGGTAGTAACTTGGCGCTAAGACATGGCGTGAGACACTGCCGTGCTCCTTTACTTTATAAATATATCTATATATTCATATTACAATATAGATGTAAATATATTTTTATTATACAAAATTTTATAGAGATTTATATTATAAAAATTATATCTAACAAAATATGAAATATACAAAAAAGTTCAATTTATGTTACACAAGTTGGTTTTAATGAAACACAGTAAAAGCCTCACCTTGAAGAGTAGATGCAGGAACTTGTATGCTTAAAATACGTTGTGGTCCATCCGGCACGCCAGCTTGTGGAGGTAAGGTGATCTGTATGGGTACTTGTCGTTCAAGCACAGCTGAAGCGGTCACCACTTGTTGCACTGGCGTCGTCGAATGTTGCTGCTGTTGCTGCAATGTTGTTCCCGTGGAAGGATGCGTGTGTTGAGGTTGTGACGGTTGCTGTGGCTGTGCTTGCACTTGTTGCTGCTGTTGCTGTTGCGATTGTTGTTGAGGTTGCGTTTGCGGTACTGTATTTCCAGCAGATGGTTGTACAAAATGATTTCCTACATTAGCTGTTACAACATCAAATTTATAGCAATAATCTATTCATACAAAATGCATCACCATTACTGAATGTTCTACACTCAATAGCAGTGAATTACCTTGTATAAATTATATCGCAATTCACTGTAATAAGTTGTTTGATAATTATAATTCAATCTATCAATTAAAGCTATTGTTTTTTACAATTTTGAAGATTTGAAGTCTTGAAAGAATTCAAATTTTTGAAGTTAACTTTCAACACTGAAGTTTTCAAAGCACTTCAAACTTCTTAATATTCATAATTAACAATAAATAAGAAAACTCTACTTTTGATACATGTTTTATAATTTAACTCAGTATAACATGGTTGGATTTGTAATACATTGTGTGATTGGTGGATTAGATGATTTGATATCGTTACCGAAATTAATTTTAAATTTAATGTCTATTTAAATTGTTTCAGGATTTTTTTTATTTATTAATAAACACGGCTGATGAGGACTTAGTACAGTCGAAACGTTCCATGAAATTGTTATAAAAGAATAATAAAGTTTATTGTTTACACCTTTTATAGCTCAGTTTTTAATTGACCTGGCAGTTTTCTTATTTATTAATTTATTAATTTAAAACTAAGGATCAAAATATATTTTTTAAAAGTATGCTTAAGAGAAAATTTAACTCCAATTCATTTACAAGGGTTATTAAAAAACAATATTGTATTATATCAACAATCTTTTACATCTAAAATGAATAGAATTAAATTGATTTGCACCAGAAAATTAATTAAATTAGAATTGAAAGACTCTTACTGTCAATTAAATCACAATAGATGCAATCTTTTCAAATCTTGTAGAAAAATAAAAAAGATTCTTCCCTTTAACTTAAGTTGTTCATTTTTTAAACATCAAGAATATTATTTTAATAGAATGTGGATATCAGAAAATATTAGAATTAATAAAAAAATTAATAATTTAAAAATCAAATATAAAAAA